TGAGAGTGAGTGAGTGTGTGAGTGAGTGAGTGAGTGAGTGTGTGTGAGAGTGAGTGAGTGAGTGAGTGAGTGAGTGTGTGTGTGTCTGAGTGAGTTTGTGTCACCTGCACGTGTGAGAGGTCGGACTCCTTGAACTGCTGCAGCACTGACATCGCTCCCTCCTCATTAAACTCCCGCAGCGCATCCAGCGCCCGCTCGTCCAGATCCACGTACGCCACCAGCCCTGAACACACACACACACACCATTTAGAAACAAACACCAAACCCTCCTTCATCCATCAAGTCTAGATTAGTGTCACTCCAAACTGTCCAGTTCACAAATACACCTTCCTTCAGTTCTGGTTTCATGTGGTCCAGACGGTCCGTCTCACCTGTCTGGAAGATGTTGTCCAGGCTCTCGGCGACCTTCTGCGGCAGACCGGCGTCCAGCAGCGTCTGGTAGTTCTCCGAGTGTGTGGCCGTCACATCCATGGGCTCCTCTTCTTCTTTGAGCAGACCGGAGCTGCCATTCACCTCAGCAGCCATTACTCTGACACACAGACAGCAGACATGAGCGTCAATCACAGCAAACTAGGCTTCTCTAGAGGATCACGAAGGAGCTACAGGCAGCGTATGAGACCCGAGACAAAAAAGAAAACACACAGTAAACGCATGAACAATATTAAACAAAATGCAAGTCTTTTAAACAGAACTGAATTATTAAATGTACTATTCTTTACATTTAGCACTGTTTTCACCGCGGCTGTAAACAACACCTGACGAGTGATTTAATACATGACTAATATCACTAAATCATCATGTTCGAAAAAAGCGACTTACACTATTATTAAAATGTAACATCATCATCATCATCATGTATTTTTTTAACATAATTTCAATATGAAATGTCATTCAGCCTCACATAAATGATTCACTCACAAACACACATATATATAAAATATGTGCAGTGAATTTATTTGGGTCCTCAAGTCACCGCTGACGTTATGAGTTTAGGATCACAGGTTATGATAAGAACATCAGATAAGAGAGACTAACCTGTGGATAACTAACCTGTATCATCAACACAAGGAAGACACAAGTGTTTAATAGTACATTTTAATAACAAAAGACAGACCAGAGTAATCAACAACTACTTTACCATGAAGAGATAAGACATAAGATGCTGCACTACACATCTCTGTCACTGAGAATACTTATTTCTCTGAATAAGTGTGAGATGTGTGTGTAGTGGTCTGCATCAGTTTGAGGTTTGAGAACCCAGTAATGAGTGTTTGAGCCACTGCTGCTGCGTCTGAGGTCCTGAGGAACTTTAATGGCATCACAGGCCAAGCCTTAGCAATCAGTCTCTAGCTGGGTGAAGGATAGAAACTGCATTTGGACCAACGAGAAGTCCTGTCCTCGGTACCAGAGGACTTCTTCTGGCCCTAGAGGCATCTACGACATTAGTCCACTATTGTGTTCAGAGAGGGGCCCCGCTATAACTGGGCCCTGCTGCTCTCTATATATGAATATATAAATACAAACACTTTTATAAATATATCTAGCATTCTAATACATACTGAAGTGTTCATAATTTGTATTTTTATAGAAATTTAGATTTTATATATACAGATATAGGAACATATAATTAAAATACATAAATACTTTAATATAAAATGTAAACAATTTATAAATAAGTATAGAGTAGACAATGTTCTATATAGTGTTTATATATATTCACATTATAAATTGATATAATTTTATACAAATACATAACCACTTTAATTTTTGTAATTTATATCATTCTTATTTTATATTATATTTACACATATATATATATATATATTCAAACACTTTAATATATGAATTAAATATAAATAAACACGTATGTGTATATATGTGTTTGTGTGTGTGTATATACACAATATTATATGCAGATTCACATTAAACAAAAATATTAATTAATATATAAATAACTATACACTTTAATATATAAAGTAATTTCACATTACACATATATATATATATATTTGTGTGTATGCATGTATAAATGTAACATGTACATACACACACACTCGCTCACACACACACACACACACACACAGAGACAGACTCGTGTCGGTGATCCGCCCCCCTCACGCATGAGGCTTGCAGCACGCGATGCTAACGCCCTGTATGTGAATGTATTAGCGCTCGTAACGGGCCGTTAGTGATCTCTAGCTCACACGAGACACCCGTTACCCGTCACACCCCCGCCGCTCGCGTAGAAACCCCGTTAGAGCGCCAAACCGGGCAGACGGAGATTCCCGCGCCGCGCGCGGCCTACAGCAGACAGGCACAATTCAAACCAGACAAACCCGCCAAAAGCCGCGCACTCACCGCGATTATGTTGAGCGGGCGGCACGAGAGAGCTGCGGAGTGCGCTCAGTCCTGGAGCACGAACGGCGGAACTCACCGAAACACGGTAAAACCTCTTCAGACGAACCCACGAGACAGAGCGAGACGGTCCCGTCGCTCAAACAACAGCGCCACTTCCTCGCGCGGCGGACCGGCTGCGTCACGACGCACGCTGCGCGGGAGCGCGTACGTGCGGGGCGGGGGCTCCGCGTGCACGCCCGATCTGCTGTGATTCCCGCGCTCCGAAAAAATCACTGCTTCTAGATCTCTCTTCTTCTTCTTCTTCTTCTTCTTCTTCTTTTAAATTTAATGGCGGTTGGCAAACCAACTTAAATGGTGCATTCCCGCCACCTACTGGATAGGAGTGTGGAGCGCATAATGATTGGAAGTTTCTTCTTCTTCTTCTTCTTCTTCTTCTTCGTCTTATATTTGCTTCTAGATCTCTTCTTCTTCTTCTTCTTATATTTGCTTCTAGATCTCTTCATCTTCTTCTTCTTCTTATATTTGCTTCTAGATCTATTCTTCTTCTTCTTCCTATATTTGCTTCTAGATCTCTCTTCTTCTTCTTCTTATATTTGCTTCTAGATCTCTTCTTCTTCTTCTTATATTTGCTTCTAGATCTATTCTTCTTCTTCTTCCTATATTTGCTTCTAGATCTCTCTTATTCTTCTTCTTATATTTGCTTCTAGATCTATTCTTCTTCTTATATTTGCTTCTAGATCGCTTCTTCTTATATTTGCTTCTAGATCTATTCTTCTTATTCTTCTTATATTTGCTTCTAGATCTCTCTTCTTCTTCTTATATTTGCTTCTAGATCTATTCTTCTTCTTATATTTGCTTCTAGATCGCTTCTTCTTCTTATATTTGCTTCTAGATCTATCTTCTTCTTCTTATATTTGCTTCTAGATCTCTTCTTTTTCTTCTTCTTATATTTGCTTCTAGATCTCTCTTCTTCTTATATTTGCTTCTAGATCTCTCGTCATCTTCTTCTTCTTATATTTGCTTCTAGATCTCTTCTTCTTATATTTGCTTCTAGATCTATCTTCTTCTTTTTCTTCTTATATTTGCTTCTAGATCTCTCTTCTTCTTCTTCTTCTTATATTTGCTTCTAGATCTCTCTTCGTCTTTTTCTTCTTATATTTGCTTCTAGATCTCTCGTCTTCTTCTTCTTATATTTGCTTCTAGATCTCTCTTCTTCTTTTTCTTCTTATATTTGCTTCTAGATCTCTCTTCTTCTTCTTCTTCTTATATTTGCTTCTAGATCTCTCTTCTTCTTCTTCTTATATTTGCTTCTAGATCTCTCGTCTTCTTCTTCTTCTTATATTTGCTTCTAGATCTCATGTTCTAAAGGATCATTTAAATGGTACTTTATGTTTTCAAAAACTTCTAAAAACAAAGCAGAAAAACGGAAGATGTTTGCTGCTTTATTCTGCCCTGACTGCATCTTTACTTTATAATCTTGCTCTTCTTTGTGTTAATAAGTTTGGAGGTTGTCTTGCAATGTAATTGTGCAAAATGTGTAATAAATAAATACACGACTTAATACCAACAGCAATGTTTGATTCCCACGTGACGCTTAGATATAAAAAGTCTAAAAACAAAACATATATTGTGGTCAATCATGCTCTCTAGTTATACATAAATCGGTCAATGCAAACTCCATTTCTTATAAAGTTTTATGTGTGAAAAACGTAGGGGTCCAAATATTAGGAACGGGAACGGATCTATTTCTCTTCGGAGGGAATATTAGAGAAAGAGAGAGGGGCGGAGCCATAGATATGGAAGGAATGTGGCTTATTCTAATATTCATTGATTATTATGGTGAATGACGTCAAATTGACCTTCCAATATGGCGGATGGCTTACGTCAATATGTTCCAATACAGCACATAGAAACAATCGCTAATGATCATAGGGCCATTCTTCTTCAATCCTCTTTGCTCAGTCAATATTTCCTCAGGTCCTAGAGCTTCTTATTGGAAGCTTAACTCCTCTTTGCTTACATATGACCAATTAAAGAATAACATTTCATTTTTGATTAAATACTACTGGCTCAAAGCAAAAAAAGAAAATAAATATGGTCTGAACTGGGAGCTTCTTAAACACGAAGTTGGCAAATGTGCTAGAAATTTTGGCAGTCATCTAAACTTAAAAAACGGGAAGAGGAGATTATCGTTTCTAAAATAGTATCCCTTCATAACAAAACTCCGTATGGTTTGTCAGAAGCTGAGCTAGTAGAACTTGCTGAATGGCAAACTAAGTTAGACTCGATATACAAGTACAGGGCAGATGGCTCCTTTATTCGCTCTAGAAGAAGACGGCTTGAGCACAGCTTACTTCTTTAGAATGGAAAAGAATAATTCTAGAAATGTAACTATTAACTCTCTGAACATTAATGGTACAGTTTCTTCTGACCCTAAACAAATTGGTACTTTTTGTGCAAATTTTTATACTACGCTTTACAAGTCTAATTATAGTGAGGACTCGGCATTGTTGTTTTTTCAATCTCTGAAGGGGATTAAGACTTTATCTATTGATGAGAAGATCACCTGTGACAGAGATATAACTGTTGCTGAAATAATAGAATCTATCGAAGCTCTTAAGAACAACAAGTCTCCGGGTACCGATGGGCTGACGGCCGAACTTTACAAAATGTTTGCTGAAGAACTAGCACCTTTCTTACTGGAGACTTATTTAGAAAGCATTGAATACTCCCTACTGACGTGTGAAACTACTCACTTTAATACCTAAACCTAAGAAAGACATTCTTTTTATAGATAACTGGCGTCCAATTTGCCTATTAAACTGTGATTATAAAACTTTAGCTTTGATATTAGCCAATAGACTTAAAAGTGTGCTGGGCTCAGTTATAGATGAAACCCAGTCAGGTTTTATCCCTAAAAGGCATATTGCTAATAATATTCGCCTCGTCTTAGATTTGTTAGACTATGATGCTATTGGCCTGGCACTTAATATATAAACACAACTTCAGTCCCCACCGTTATTTTATCTGGAATAACCATGATATCTGTTATCAAAATAAATCTATATTTTTTCCTGATTGGTTTCTCAGCTTTTAAATAGTAATGGTTATTTACTTTCTTATTCTGAGTTCTTAAGAAAATATTGTATTCCTGTCACCCCACGTGATTTTGCCATAGTTATGGACGCCATTCCCAGTGGAGCTATTGCACTTTTAAAAAACTCTGTTGATTCTGTACCCTCCTTTATTTCCCTGACTAATCCCTGTGAAACAGTGATAGGAAAAATTTGCTTTGCGCTCAGCCCTTCTTTCAAGAATAGAACGATTCAACATCTTTTTCAGAATTATATAATTAATATTCGCCTCGTCTTAGATTTGTTAGACTATGCCGAATTGGTAAAGGAGGAGAGTTTTATTCTTTTTTTAGATTTTTATAACGCTTTTGATTCTCTTGAGCACAAATGTATTTTACAATCTCTGCACAAGTTTGGCTTTGGTGATTTCTTTTGCAAAACTATCCGCACTTTATATAAAAATGGTACCTGCTCAATTAATCTTAAATCTGGTGCTTCTCCTAGATTTGAAGTGTTCAGAGGAGATCGCCAGGGTTGCCTACCTGTTTGTAATAGCATCCCAGCTCCTCACATTTTATTTGTTGAATAGTAGTTTACAAAGTATCAGTATAGCTGATAATCATATTCTCATAAGCCAGTTAGCAGACGACACCGTGCTAGCAAAATTTTTTATACATAAGTGCAAATGTTTGTCTGTAAAGCCCCTATTTCTTATATTTTTTAAAGATCTGAAGTATTACTTGGAAACAATATCTACCTCCAGCAATGTTAAAGCCTTAAAATTGATAACACTGTGTGCATCTTATAATATTGGTTCTTTCCTATAATGTACAATTGCTCTGTGACCTTTTGCCTGGTTGTTAAAAAGTGCCTTTTGAGGCACCTTTACGTTATATAATGTAATTTATATTGCCCCTGGCCCTGTATGTTTGTTGTTTTTTTTATTTCATTTTGTTTTGTGATTTTGTTGTTACTAGGGTTGTATATTTTTGTATACTTGTTGCTAATCCTAATAAAGGAAGAAAAAAAGAAAAGAAACAATCGCTAATGAGGCATCTAGGTACACATGTCTATGGCGAGGACCCTCTTGGAATCGCTCTTTCTTCTTCTTCTCCAAAATGAATTGCATTTTTGAGGGCCTAAACATGCTCGAAAACTCATGAAACTGAACACGTGTTAGAACTGGCAAAAATGTACATCTGATAGGGGTTTCAGAATTGTGCGTGGCCAAATGGCTCGATAGCGCCACCTATAACATTTCAACGAAGCACCCCTCCCACTACATTTCCCGTACGTGTACGAAATTCAGTACATTCATGTAATGTCCCAATACCTACACAAAAGTCTCTTGGAGTGAAGTCCTAAACGCAACAGTAAGTTATTTTTAATTTTCTCTGCAAATTTTGTGCCGTTTTTGCCATTTTCAGGCCTCGTACTTTAACAAACTCCTCCTACAGTTTTAATCGGATCATCTTCAAATTTGGTGCGTGTAATCATAGGGCCTTTGCGATGCTAAATTGCGAAGATCTTGAGTTTTCGTCGAAGGGCGTATCCCTGGCGGCCTTACAAAGTTCGATGTTCCACCACGAAACAGGAAGTTGCTGTAACTCAGACAAACAATGTCAAATCTGCCCCAAATTCACACGTTTGATAGGCGTTCAGTCCTGAACACATGCCCATATTCAGTTATAGCCATAGCGCCACCTGCTGGCAACAGGGATTTCGGCACATATAAATGACTTCGGCATTTGATATTGCTCTTATATTTAGCACTTTAAATGCACACGGCTCATCGTTCACTGTTTTCCTAAGGCCACTGGGGTGCGAGGGCCCTTTCAACGCTGCTTGCAGCTTTAATTTCAGTTTAAGTTTGTTATTTTACTAGAGAAAGTTAAGATAAACTAAATTAAAAAGAGAAACTAACTGGAAGTTGTTTTATCCAAGTAACAATTTTTTTAATGTTTTGCATTTAAGAAAGTCAATTTAAGAAAATCAGTTAAAAGACAGTTAAACATTCTATAATGAGCATATTTCACCCAGATATGAAAATCCTGTCATTGTTTCAAACATGCATGACTCCAAAACACCATAAACATCACAAAAGTACTGTATGCAGCATGAATGAATCAAAGGTCTGTGCTTC